CTAGACTAAGTGATTTAATTTTATTGTACCTTTAAATAAAGAATACTAATGATATAGGGACTAATTATGTTGCTAAAATTATCAGAACCAACATCTGTGTTGATAGGATGACCGGGTCATGTCAGGTGATGACCTTGTACTTAATCTAGGATAATGACATAAAAATCACTTGTTTAAGTATCATACCTCAATTTCCTTCCAAAAAATCACTTCTTTAAGTATCATTTTAATAACCCCCCACTAATTTCAACACCCCTGAACAGTGAAATTTTGATCGCGAACAGTAGAATTTTATTACATAATCTATAAGATGAAACCTTGAATTTTACAGGAAAAATACTCCCACTGCTGGGAAAAATCTGTTAAGAAAGTATCAGTTCATTATGTAAAGCCATTTTTAGAGCATTTTTTCAACTAAAATAGAATTTGCAGCTAAATGATTGCATCAAAGGCATAAACCTTGCTGCTTAAAACATGTAAAAGAAGCAAAAAGTTTATTTTTTTCAATTTTACTAATGAAAAGATATTATCTAAACCTACATGTGTATGTGTTTAAAATTTTGCTAAAACTACAAAATCACAATTTGTGACAAAACTTCGAATTTGCTACTTAAATAAGTGATTTAAAAATCACTTATCTCAATAAGTCCCCTGACTGGTATTAAGAACCTACTTCCATTGGTCTATACAAAAACAAATGCCAACAATAACGACTTGTTAGCTTTAAATGTGTTTTATTAATTTCTTCGTCTGCTGAAACCTTAAGATTTTTCCTCAACACTGTGTTGTTTTTATAAAGGGACGTAACACCACTAACTGTGTATTGAAATAAGCCCTGCCTTCTAACCCAATATGAAATATACACGGTCTCCATGCTGTTGCTTTTAACCAATCATATTCCTAGAAATATATAGCAGGTAAGATAAATGTATATATATGCTATTGGACTTTAAAAAACAATGTAATATTTATGTATTTATCTATTTTTTCACATTTTAATGTTAGCTTTGCAAAAATTTGGTTATGAAATTTGAAAGGAAACCTACATGAAAGAATATACCAGACTACTGTATAATAATAATAATATAATAATAATAAATTCTTTATTTAAAGAGGGTAAACACAGTTAGTTACAATTACTAATCTTCCCTGAGGCCCTCATATACAATACATGTAAAAAATAATAATAAAAGTCAAAAAAGCAAACATACAACATATTAACACAATCGTATAATCATGATAGTTCAATATACATGTACCATAATTAGAACATATAAAACAGTTACAGATTGCATGTAGTGAATAGATATTATATACAAATCAAAATCATACATTCTAAAAAAAAGAGTAATAGTTGCAATCATTTCAAGACTGAATATTGGGACTGTCTCAAGTATTGTTTTATAATTTGTTTAAAAGAAAAAGTGTTTTGCACTTTACGCATTTCATATGGTAGTCCGTTCCATAAAACTGATCCAGAATAAGCAAAAGATTTTTTAAACAGTTCAGTTTTTGGCTTAGGAACTATCAAATTACCTTGAGTGACACCCCTTAAAGCATAAGGATTATTAACAGATATAAGTTGAAACTTTTGAAGTAGGTACTGTGGTGCTTCTTTCCGCATACATTTATGTAGCAGTAAATATTTGTGGTATTTGATTCTGTTTTCAACTGTCATCCATCCAAGTTCTTTAAATAAGGGGGCTGATGGGAATAAAGGGTCTGCATCAAGAATTAATCTTGCTGCTCTTTTTTGAAGTTTTAATATTCTTACCATCCCTTCATTTTTACATTCTCCCCAAACAATACAGCAGTAATCGATGAGCGGCAGAATATACCCATTATAGTATGCTTTCCTGGCATTAATATCTAAAAATTTCTTTAATTTAGAAAGAAGGTATATTCTTGATGAAATGCTAGCACAAATTTGATCAATTTGATTTGTCCAGCTAAGTGTGCTGTTAATTTTAACACCTAATAATTTTTCACATGATGAATACTGTAGTATGTGTGTGCATCAAATGTGTCTTCTAACTGTAATGTACCAAATCTTATGTTTACTGATTAACATTCAAGCCTTCTTCAGGGGCAATCATCTTTGTCTAATTTCCATTGGCCATGATATTGTGTGCTTTGTTTGACAGTTGGTTTTTGGTTTCAACTATCTCTTCTCACTTAATTTGGACATGCCTTTCACCAGCTAGAAAAATTTGAGCAATCTGTTTTGTCATTTGATAGTTATGGTCATGATGGTGTAAGGAAAACGGGAATATATATGTAGGACTCTAAAGTGAGATAGGGACACTAAAATGCGATGGCCTACATTAAAGTGGGATGGTTTGATACGCTAAAGTGCGATGGTCTGTGTTATTCATTTGAACATGCTAAAGTGTGTTTTTCCACAAAAGTATTGACGTTAGCAACGTTAAACAGCATTCTGACGAGAATGTTTGTCCAGATTAAGTGTTTTTCTTACACAAGAAATTAAAGAGAGAAACAAATGATCACAATCTGGAACATTTCTAGTCGATGCTGGAAGAGGTTATCTTAAAATGTAAAATTGTAAAAAGAAATTTAATCAAAACAGCTGGGGTGCGAAAAAGTCTTTCTTTTTACTTTCTAATTGAATAATTCTATAAAAAAAAATTACAATTGGGTTTGTTATTTTCTGTTAAACAATGAATATACGTCAACTAGACAGCAACCTAACGAACAAATGTGTAGTATCATCATATGATTGCCAATAAGACAACAGATGAACTCACTATCCAACACCTAATAACATTAATGTATGCAACTTTAGCATGTTTAGGCTATAGTATGACCTTTAACCATGTTAACGGGGAGCATTGACTTACACTGCATAGTATTCCATTAAAACCAAAAGGGCCTCAAAACAACCAGTGTAAAAAAATTCAAACGAGTAAAAATAACAACCTGATTTAAATACAAAACAATAAAGAACAGCAAATATGAAATATACCAACAAACGACTACCACTAAATTCCGGATATACTATAACTACTGCAATGTAACCATTACACTTTTTGGACAACTATCGTACTGTAAATAAAAATATGAAGATGTAGTATGAACTATTCATCCAACCCCAAATGTTGTTCATGTATGCAACTAATAATCATACGGCCTTCAATGTAAAGCCTCATGAGCCTTGGCCCATGCCACATATACATGTAACAAGCTATATAGGATCTATACAATGACCAGTGTAAAACAATTCAAAAAAGAAAGACTACGACTTGATGTATAAATAAAACAATAAACGAAAAAGTAATAGAAACTCAGCAACAAACAAAAACCATTACCTGAACTACATTCTCGTAACACCATCAGACTTTAGAGTGTCATACCATCAGACTTTAGCATGTTATCTGATAGCACTTAAAAAACAAACAACCATCACACTTTAGCGTGACCATCGCACTTTAGAGTCCTATATATATATGCTACATGGAAGGTTCAGTAGATACTGCCCTGTTAATTACATGATTACTGGTAGTATTTACTGCCCTGGATAATACTCAGGTCATTAACACATGTAGCAAGGAACTTACATGTAAAAATGTGGCAATGCATTTACATTTATATCATTTTTGTCCCCCGCGCAATGCATTGCAAGGGATATAAAAATACTGAACGTCTGTACGGTCTTGTAAGGGCTCTCACATGTACAATTCTTGCCAGATTTTCATGAAACTTATATCATAGGTTTATACATGTTATATCAGCAATGTCTTGGACGAGTTCGAAAATCATGGCCAATCAAGTATTTTTAACATGTTTAAAAGAGGAATGTCCCTTGGAAAAATCAACTATATGAAAATTGCATTGTTTGTACAATTCTTGCCAGATTTTCATGAAACTTATACCATATGTTTATCATTACATTACATAGATATAAGAAGATGTGGTATGAGTGCCAATGAGACAACTCTTTATAAAAGTAAACCATTATAGGTCAAAGTAAGGTCTTCAACACGGAGCCTTGGTTCACACCGAACAGCAAGCTATAAAGAGCCCCAAAAATTACTAGAGTAAAACCATTCAAACGGGAAAACCAATGGTCTAATCTATATAAAAAAACGAGAAACAAAACACTTACATGTATGAACCACATCAACAAATGACAACTACTGAACATCAGATTCCTGACTTAGGACAGGTGCATGCATGTTTCATTATAATACATTATTTTTATTGGCTAACAGCAATCTCGCGTCATCCTGAAATTAACCTTCATTTCAAAATGAAATCTGGTGAGTAGTAACATTCATGATGACACAAGCTTCCACAATAAAATGCACAGGTAAATAAAAGAAAAACTTGATAGAAACTGTGTTTTCATGATCCTAGCAAAAAAATGTAATTATAAGTATTGAATGCTTCTTATAGTAATTTTATAGGAGTGCACATTTTTAAAATGAAGTGCTTCCGGGCATAATACAAAATGTACTTCAGTCAACGCTTTTACACCCCAATAAATTTACAAAAAGAAGCATTCAATTCTTAAATATCAACAATGTCTTGGATGAGTTCGAAAATCAGTGCCAAAGAAGTATTTTTAAAAGAGTAATGCCCTTGGAAACATCAATTATATGGAAAATTGCATCATTAGTGCTCTCATTTGTAGAATTCTTGTTAGATTTTTATGAAACTTATACCATAGGTTAATATTAGCAATGTCTTTGAAGATTTCGAAAATCAGTGAGGATCCATTTTTTTTAAAAAGAGTTATGCCTCTTGGAAACATTAATAATTTGGAAAATTGCAACATTAGGGCTCTCATGTGTACAATTCTTGAAAGAGTTTTTTGAAACTTATATCATAGGCTTATATAAGCAATGTCTATATATATATGTTTGAAAATCAGTGCCGATCAAATATTTTTAAAAGAGTATACATGCCCCTTGGAAACATTAATAATTTGGAAAATTGCACCATCTACAAATGTACAACAATAATGATGATTATTGTTTCAGTGTCACATTTCCTGTCCCACTGTAAATATGGCAGACTGTATTCAACGAAGATAACAACACATTACACTATACACTCTAGGGAACAAGATCCACGATGGAAAGGTAGGTTTTGAGATTTACAGCATACATGTACTGTATTAATTTTTAAGAAGATTTCAACTGTTATTAAAGCAATGTTCACTACCTGACCATGATGACTACATGTTTTTTTACCACAGAGTTTTTCCCTGAAAGATCCTTACTCTTTCATTTTAGATTGATTTATTAACATATATTTTTAATACATGTATCAATCATAGAAAAGTAATAAGTGAAAGACAGAAAAATAATACATAAGAATATCTGGTATGATTGCCAATGAGACAACTCTCTGATGTAGAAGTAAGCAACTATCATGACTTAATAGGTCACAATCCAACCTTAAACAATGAGTGAAACCCGTACCGCATAGCTTAATTACCTTAAATAACTGGAAAAACAATATCTTTCATCGTAATACACCTAAAGATTTGTATTGTTTTTGTCCAGCCTGCGACTTTTGTCGCAGAAAGCTCGACATAGGGATAGTGATCCTGCGGCGGCGTTAGCTAACTTCTTAAAAGCTTTATATTTTAGAAGGTGGAAGACCTGGATGCTTCATACTTTGTATAAGGATGCCTCATGTTACGAAGTTTCCGTCAGTCACATTTCCAATGTCCTTGACCTCATTTTCATGGTTCAGTGACTACTTGAAAAAAAAGTTAACATTTTTTGTAATGTTAAATTCTCTCTTATTATAAGTAGTAGGTTAACTATATTTGGTATGTGCGTACCTTGCAAGGTCCTCATGCCCGTCAGACAGTTTTCACTTGACCTCGATCTCATTTGATGGATCAGTGAACAAGGTTAAGTTTTGGTGGTCAAGTCCATATCTCAGATACTATAAGCAATAGGTCTAGTATATTCCGTGTAGGGAAGGACTGTAAGGTGTACATGTCCAACTGGCAGGTGTCATTTGACCTTGACCTCATTTTCATGGTTCAGTGGTTATAGTTAAGTTTTTGTGTTTTGGTCTGTTTTTCTTATACTGTATGCAATAGGTCTACTATATTTGGTGTATGGAATGATTGTAAGGTGTACATGTCTAGCTGGCAGGTGTCATTTGACCTTGACCTCATTTTCATGGTTCAGTGGTCAAAGTTAAGATTTTGAGTTTTGGTCTTTTTTTTCTAATACTATATGCAATAGGTCAACTATATTTGGTGTATGGAAATATTTTGTGATCTATATGTCAGTCGCGCAGGTTTTATTTGACCTTGATCTCATTTTCACAGTTCATTGTTCAGTGTTAAGTTTTTGTGTTTTGGTTTGTTTTTCTTAAACTATAAGCAATAGGTCAACTATATTTGTTGTATGGAAGAATTGTTAGCTGTACATGCCTGCCTGGCATGGTTCATCTGATCTTGACCTCATTTTCATGGTTCATTGGTCAATGTTTAGTTTTCTTGGTTAATGTTAAGTTTATGTGACAGTTGTAATAAAACTTTATATTTAGGACTATCAACATAATATCAGTGATTAGTAAAGAAGGCGAGACATTTCAGTGTGTGCACTCTTGTTTGAAATCCCAATTGTTAAAGATGTCATTTGAAAATATTTATGTTTAACAGATATAGACATGACACGATATGAAGATGTGGCAGATGTTGTGATTGTTGGGGGCGGTCCAGCAGGCCTGTCTGCTGCTTGTCGTTTGAAACAGTTGGCAAACGAACAAGAAAAGGAACTCAGGGTTTGCTTAGTCGAAAAAGCTCCTGAAATAGGTAGGTATAATAAGATAGGCTGGTCAACATAGGTAATTAAGAATAAAATGTGTCTTAATTGTATTGAACCAAATTTTATATCACCAGAAAAGTCTTATTACTGTATATGTAGTTTAGGATGTACTTATGAAACAACTCTTTAATTATGAACATGTTATATGTTTCAAGTGTTCAGAGAAATTGTTTTGACTGTCGGAGGATTGAATTTTTGAGGACATGTGGTTAAGGATGTACACCTCAGAGGAGCCAAAAATTTCTAGAAATAAACTTTTTTTCTTAACCTGATTTTTGGGTTTATATGACTGTAAAAAATTGATTGGTGAAGAAACAATCATATGGTGGTGCACTTCTTTTTTTGCTACAGCCATTTGAAAGTACCCAATTCTGATGATTTTCCCATTTTTTATCAATTTTTACCCATTTTTGGGCTATTATCATGAAAAAAATCACACAGTTTCACAATTAAACTTTTTTTCATTCTTTCAATAAAGATGAAGTGGACCAATCTGAATAAATTTAACTTAAAAAAACTATAGGTAGGTGTTAATATAAGAAAGTTTTATAAAATTTTGTTGCTTTTTCGTGTCAAATTTACCATGCTGTCAATTTTTTTAATTTGAGATTTTTCTCTTTTTTTTTACCAAAAAGCATATTATTTAAACTTCTTTGTTATAAATGATTGAAAAAATACATATCTAAGAAATGTGAAAAGAAAAAATTGATATGGGATGTACATGTTTCTGGTAAAATAATTTCTTGTACCCCTCACCAATTTTCTCAACATTTCGGCTAATGAGATTGACTTGATTAATTGGTAATAAAATTTGAAAATTTTATTACTCAAAAACTATTTATTGTAAATACACAATTTTTTCACAGAGTTAAGTTTGATTATAATATTTTATAAATTCATTGATATTTTCCACTTGTATCAAATGTTTTGGAAATAATTCCAGAAAGAGATTTCAACAAGACTGAAACGTCAGAAGATTACATACTTAAGCTATCATGGCTATAAAATAAAATAATGAAAATGTATTAAGAATAAGGAGAAAATGGGTTAAGAAATAACAGACATGGCAGATATTAGAAAATGAATGTTAAGGTTGGGAAGATTGTGTACCTCCTTCCCCCAAAGTATAGACCAAGATATCTTTGATTCAGGCTTTGTCTTTTGATACCAGACTTTTGTGAAATACTTAGATTTAGACATCCCTAAAAATTAGGCAAATTTTTATACAAAAAGCCTGAGTAAAGGCTATCCCAACCAACTGTAATTTTTTTAGTGCAGACACTATCATACAGTGTAATAACAGTTAAAAATTAACTGTTCTATGAGAATTTCTTCAAAAACTTTTCACCAAACTATTAATATTTTGTTGACCCATAACTTTCATTAAAATTTGCAATATATTCATGATATATATCAAAAATACTTTAAAGCATCCCCACTTTGTATATATCAAAAATTGCAAATGGGGGGGGGGGGGAATTTTGATTGATTGATTTTTATACGACTGCAAAAAAATTTTGGGATCGTATAATGGTATATGATGTCGTCTTCCGAAGACACATTGGTTTCCGGACAATAACTTTAGTTTTAGTGAATGGATCTCTATGAAATTTTTTAAGAAGGTTCAATACCACAAAAGGAAGTTTGGGATCGATTTTGGGGATGATGGTTCTAACCGTTTAGGAATTAGGGGCCCAAAACAAGCATTTTTCTAGTTTCAGGATAATAACTTGTGTATAAGTATTTGGATTGCTCTGAAATTGTACCACAATGTTTAATACCACAAGTAGAAGGTATGGATTCATTTTAGGGGTTATGGGGCCAACAGTTTAGGAATTAAGGGCCAAAAAAGGGGCCAAAAACAAGCATTTTTCTAGTTTCCAGACAATTACTTGTGTGTAAGTGTATGGATCTCTCTGACATTGTACCACAAGGTTCCATATAACAAAGGGAAGGCTGGGATTGAGTTTGGGGTTAATTGCCCTAAACATGTAGGAATTAGGGGCCAAAAAAAGGGCCAAAAACAGGCATTTTTCTAGTTTCCAGACAATAACTTGTGTGTAAGTTTATGGATCTCTCTGAAATTGTACTACAAGGATCCATGCTACAAAGGAAAGGCTGGGATTGAGTTTTGGGGTTATTGCTCCAAGGGGGGTTTCAAAAAGTTGGAGGGGGGGGGGATTTTTTCCCAATTTTTAAAGGGATTCATATTTTTTTTTAAATTTTTGAAAGGTTTCAAGAAGAAATCTTCAATTGCATAGTATTGCGCAATGGATTTATAAGATCTTTGACCACATTTATTTTGTGTCAGAAACCTATATTATGTCAAAAATTTGATCACAATCCAAATTCAGACAGTATCAAGCGTGAATATTGTGTCCAAATTTGCCCCAACTGTTCAGGGTTCGACCTCTGAGGTTGTATCAGGCTGCGCTCAACGAAGCATTTTATTGATGTTTAATCCAAGTTTCAGTACTATTGGTTATATCATGGCAGTCAGATGTTATTGGTGGAGGAAGCAGGAGTGTCATAGAGAGAACAAACCACCTTCAGCAGGAAAACTGACAATCCTAGTCAATTAAGATTGGAGTACATGAATAATGGCCATCCAACTGTCATGTCAAAGAGAGAACCACCAACCCTCGACAGGAAAACTGACAATCCTAGTCAATTAAGATTGGAGTACATGTATATAATGGACCTCCCACAGTAGTGCCAAGGAGAGAACCACCAAACATCATCAGGAAAGCTGACAATCCTAGTCAATTAAGATTGGAGTACATGAATAATGGACCTCCCACAGGAGTGTCATAGAGAGAACCACCAACCCTCGACAGGAAAGCTGACAATCCTAGTCAATTAAGATTGGAGTACATGTATAAAATGGACCTCCCACAGGAGTGTCATAGAGAGAACCACCAAACATCATCAGGAAAGCTGACAATCCTAGTCAATTAAGATTGGGGTACATGTATATAATGGACCTCCCACAGGAGTGTCATAGAGAGAACCACCAAACATCATCAGGAAAGCTGACAATCCTAGTCAATTAAGATTGGGGTACATGTATATAATGGACCTCCCACAGGAGTGTCATAGAGAGAACCACCAAACATCATCAGGAAAGCTGACAATCCTAGTCAATTAAGATTGGAGTACATGTATATAATTGACCTCCCACAGGAGTGTCATAGAGAGAACCACCAACCCTCGGCAGGAAAGCTGACAATCCTAGTCAATTAAGATTGGGGTACATGTATATAATGGACCTCCCACAGGAGTGTCATAGAGAGAACCACCAACCTTCGACAGGAAAGCTGACAATCCTAGTCAATTAAGATTGGAGTACATGTATATAATGGACCTCCAACAGGAGTGTCAGAGAGAACCACCAACCCTCGACAGGAAAACTGACAATACTAGTCAATTAAGATTGGGGTACATGTATATAATGGACCTCCCACAGGAGTGTCATAGAGAGAACCACCAAACATCATCAGGAAAGCTGACAATCCTAGTCAATTAAGATTGGGGTACATGTATATAATGGACCTCCCACAGGAGTGTCATAGAGAGAACCACCAAACATCATCAGGAAAGCTGACAATCCTAGTCAGTTAAGATTTGAGTACATGTATAATGGACCTCCCACAGGAGTGCCAAACAGAGAACCACCAAACATCATCAGGAAAGCTGACAATCCTAGTCAATTAAGATTTGAGTACATGTATAATGCACCTCCCACATGTGTTATGTGACTACTTAGACCACTCTGCAACCGAGTCAAATGTTGAAAGTTCTGATTTCATGAGTGAAAGATTTTTATAATACCAGAACTGGACAGGGTGAAAATACAATATTTTAAGGATTGTGACTAAAAAAAATCCAAAAAGATCTTGACCAATAGACCCTAATATTTTAGGAAGGAGTCTGAATGCATGAAACAATATATCATTTACATTCTGTTGCGCATACATTTTCAGGAGCACATACACTATCTGGAGCATGTATAGAACCGACAGCTCTAAGTGAACTTTTTCCTGACTGGAAAGAAAAAGGAGTAAGTAGTAGCTGAGAAGCCAGATAAACTTTTAATACTATCTTTGTTCTAGAGTAGATAATGTAATTCATGATCAACAAAAATGTTACACAATAAAAATACCGTTTGTCTGGTATGATTGCCAATGAGACAACTATCCACTAAAGTTCAATTGAAGTAGAAGTAATTATTCTCTAATTATACCCCCGCTTTAAAAAAGTGGGGGTATACTGGTTTACCTCTGTCTGTTAGTCCGTCCGTCCCATGAATATTTTTTGTCGCACCTTTCTCAGGAACTACATCATAAGGATTTCTGAAATTTGGTTTCATGGTTTATATAAGTCAGCTATCCGTTTGATTCATCACTCAACAACTTCCTGTTTTATACCGAACACTTACATCATTTTACACATGACATCCAAGTAGTTGAAAATTGCGGCAGGGGTATCATCAGTGAGCAGTCGCTCGCAGTTTCACTTGTTATAAATACAATAATATTATTTTCATCTAGTAATATATTGAAAATTGCTTCTTCTTGTTTTAATAAAATATTGTAAGGTATTTTTCTTTTTAATTCTTTGATGGACAGCACACTCTTAAAATCCGTTAGTGTATAAGTTATCTACTAATTTAAATTGAAATTTAATGCAAAGGATTGGTCAAGATGTTTACTGAAATTGGCAATTTTTGATGACGTAATGAAATTTATTTAGTAAATGAAGAAATTTAATGGGAATTACTATATTCTCCGAATACATAAAAAAGATAATAATATATTTTTACCAAATAGAAAAGAGAATGGTACTAAACAGGGAATGTGTCAAAGAGACAAAAACCCTACCAAAGAACAGAAAACTCCCCAAGGCCACCAATGGGTCTTCAACGCAGCGAGATAATCCAGCACCCAAAGGTGGGCTTCAGCTGGCCCCTTAACAATAATGTATACTAATTCAGCGAAATGGACGCCACAATAAACCCCGAAACATACAAATGAACCAAAATTAGAAAAAATAAGAGTAATTTGGGACAGGCGCATGAATGTGGCAGGGTAAAACTTGTTTTGTGAGATCTCAACCCTCCCCTATACCTCTAGCCAAAGTTGAATAAACCAGCTCACAGTAAAACTCAGTTCAAAAGAAGTTCGAATACAATGTTAGAATAGGTAACAGAAAACACTAAGCAAAATGACAATGAAAAACATAAAGACTGTTTTGTAAAATTATCTATGTGATATGTATGATTCTCCCATTTTTCCTTTTTTGCTTATGACAGTTTCCTTATTTTATTCTATTCCAATTGTTAAGTTTTCTTTCTAGTCACAAATTAAATTTGAGATTTTTTTATTGATAATGTGAATTGTGCAAGGACTCTAACTTGAAAACAAGGATGGTGACTTTATTATATTTTTAGAACAGGTCTTTCCTTGGTGCTACTTTATATTTTTACGAAAGTCAATTTTGGGTATTTGCATTCAAAATATGCAAAGAAAACCTATACTCATGACGTACTACACAAGATATTTTAGTTTGTAGAGATAAAAACACAGAATTTGAAATTTAAAAAAAAACATATCATAAATTTTGAAATCTATTGTTGATTTTTCTTGCAGTTTTGACATAAATTGCTTGGAGCTGTTCACAATTGATTGCAAAAGAAAAAAAATGGGAATCCTTGGTTTTTTTTCAGCATAATTTTCATACAATTATGGAGATCCAATTTTGATTTTTTCATGCTGAATTTGTTGTTTGGCATAACAAAGATTTTATTATTTATATGAAAAAAAAAATCTTAAATTAATGAAAAATGTATATGTAATATTTTGACAAAAAGAAAAGTAGGGGTTAGCGGGCAAAATGTTACAATGGCACCACATGGGTAAAACCAGAGAATTCAGAATATCTGACAAAAAAATAGAAACAAAAACTAGCGAACATCCTTTATTAGCTATTTAACTGACAAATTTCATGAATTTGTCAGCCATAAATGAGATTTATTATTGTCCTTCAATTTTTTGTAAGTCGCCCACAGGGGCTTCCAGAATAACAGAGCAGAATGAGAGATCTAGATATCAGATTGATATACCCATTTGTGTATTGTAATTAATAATTTAGTGCAACATATATTGATGTTTTTGTAGGCACCCTTAAAGACACCAGTAACAGAAGATAAATTTTATTTCTTAACAGAGAATAAAACAATACCTATACCAGTATTCCCAGGTAACTATACTGAAGAATTATATTGACTCACAACATTTTATGGATTTATAAGACCCCCCTAAATAACCTATAAATGTAACTTTGGTGAACATGTCATGTTGTGATGCAAAGATGGAAATTACAATCAAAAACTTAACAGGCAATTGAGTCCTATCTGAATTAACAAAAAAACTGTTAAAAAATTCAAAACCATGACTGTTAGAATCACAAGGTACAACTTTTCCATACTATCCATATTTAACAACTTCACAATGGGTAAAAAAAATGGTGGTAAGGATTATAAGTTAAGCAGTTAAGATATTGTGTCTTCACTGAATTAGATTCTGAAATTATACTTTTCACATCACAGGAAGTTAACCATTTGCAATATTTCAACAGACTAAGTCATGAGGATTAACATGCTTTTGATCAGTAAGGTCACATATTTTGATAAACAATTAATAAGTTGATGAAAATACTCAAAGTTAATATACTGTACATTGTATGCCCAGTTGGTAATAACCTAATCAATGAACATTATGACTGGTATTTTTGTTTAAATTGATCAGACATTTCAGTTTTAGAATATAATGCCTTAAGTGACTTTCAAATTAGAGGTATAGTTTTTCAACTTGGCATTGGTAACTTACACATACTCATTTATTTTGAAAATGCATTTAATTTATGTACATTGGAGTAATAGCTTGTTTCTTTGATATCCATGAATTATTACATTAATTTTATGTTTTATAAGAATCCATACTTTTGATAATCAAATTGTATATCTCAATAAAATTCAACATTCATGACAGCACATGCTTCTAAATATAATGACAATGTCACAATAATGCATAGGAGAACAAACAAAAATTTGCTATAACTCATTATTTCATGGTTGTAGCTTAAAATATAATTATAAGATTTGAATGCTTCTTTTTGTAATTTTATAGGGTTGTAACAGCATTGGTCATGCACACATTTTAAGTATGAATCACTTCCTCTTTAAATTACAAAAGGAAGCATTCAATTCTTAAATTATGCACTAACACCATGAATACAGTTGTTTATATGATTGTTATAAGTTATTTTACAAAGAATTTATGTTTTAGGAATGCCAATGAATAACCATGGTAATTATGTAGTACGTCTGGGTAATGTTGTACGATGGTTAGGACAGCAGGCAGAGGAACTTGGTGTAGAGATCTATCCTGGTTATGCTGCTAGTGAGGTATGTATACCATGGTAATTATGTGGTACGTCTGGGTAATGTTGTAAGATGGTTAGGACAGCAGGCAGAAGAACTTGGTGTAGAGATCTATCCTGGTTATGCTGCTAGTGAGGTATGTATACAGTGGTAATTATGTAGTACGTCTAGGTAATGTTGTACGATGGTTAGGACAGCAGGCAGAGGAACTTGGTGTAGAGATCTATTCTGGTTATGCTGCTAGTGAGGTATGTATACCATGGTAATTATGTAGTACGTCTAGGTAATGTTGTAAGATGGTTAGGACAGCAGGCAGAGGAACTTGGTGTAGAGATCTATCCTGGTTATGCTGCTAGTGAGGTATGTATACCATGGTAATTATGTGGTACGTCTGGGTAATGTTGTAAGATGGTTAGGACAGCAGGCAGAAGAACTTGGTGTAGAGATCTATCCTGGTTATGCTGCTAGTGAGGTATGTATACAGTGGTAATTATGTAGTACGTCTAGGTAATGTTGTACGATGGTTAGGACAGCAGGCAGAGGAAATTGGTGTAGAGATCTATTCTGGTTATTCTGCTAGTGAGGTATGTATACCATGGTAATTATGTGGTACATCTACGTAATGTTGTATGATGGTTAGGACAGCAGGCAGAAGAAGATGGTGTAGAGATCTATCCTGGTTATGCTGCTAGTGAGGTATGTATAAAGTGGTAATTATGTAGTACGTCTAGGTAATGTTGTACGATGGTTAGGACAGCAGGCAGAGGAAATTGGTGTAGAGATCTATTCTGGTTATGCTGCTAGTGAGGTATGTATACCATGGTAATTATGTGGTACATCTACGTAATGTTGTACGATGGTTAGGACAGCAGGCAGAAGAACTTGGTGTAGAGATCTATCCTGGTTATGCTGCTAGTGAGGTATGTATACCATGGTAATTATGTGGTACGTCTAGGTAATGTTGTAGGATGGTTAGGGCAGCAGGCAGAGGAACTTGGTGTAGAGATATATCCTGGTTATGCTGCTAGTGAGGTATGTATACAGTGGTAATTATGTAGTACGTCTAGGTAATGTTGTATGATGGTTAGTACAGCAGGCAGAGGAACTTGGTGTAGAGATCTATGCTGGTAATGCTGCTAGTGAGGTATGTATACCATGGTAATTATGTAGTACGTCTAGGTAATGTTGTACGATGGTTAGGACAGCAGGCAGAGGAACTTGGTGTAGAGATCTATTCTGGTTATGCTGCTAGTGAGGTATGTATACCATGGTAATTATGTTGTATGTCTAAGTAATGTTGTATGATGGTTAGGACAGCAGGCAGAGGAACTTGGTGTAGAGATCTATCCTGGTTATGCTGCTAGTGAGGTATGTATACAATGGTAACTATGTGGTACGTCTGGGTAATGTTGTAAGATGGTTAGGACAGCAAGCAGAAGAAGATGGTGTAGAGATTTATTCTGGTTATGCTGCTAGTGAGGTATGTATACCATGGTAATTATGTGGTACGTCTAGGTAATGTTGTACGATGGTTAGGACAACAGGTAGAGGAACTTGGTGTAGAGATATATCCTGGTTATGCTGCTAGTGAGGTATGTATACCATGGTAATTAAGTAGTACGTCTAGGTAATGTTGCACGATGGTTAGGACAGCAGGCAGAGGAACTTGGTGTAGAGATCTATCCTGGTTATGCTGCTAGTGAGGTATGTATACCATGGTAATTAAGTAGTACGTCTAGGTAATGTTGTACGATGGTTAGGACAGCAGGCAGAGGAACTTGGTGTAGAGATCTATCCTGGTTATGCTGGTAGTGAGGTATGTATACCATGGTAATTATGTAGTACGTCTAGGTAATGTTGTACGATGGTTAGGACAGCAGGCAGAGGAACTTGGTGTAGAGATCTATCCTGGTTATGCTGCTAGTGAGGTATGTATACCATGGTTATTATGTGGTACGTCTGGGTAATGTTGTAGGATGGTTAGGACAGCAGGCAGAGGAATTTGGTGTAGAGATCTATCCTGGTTATGCTTCTAGTGAGGTATACACACAAAGTATTTATTTACAGATTGGTTCTTTAACACTGTTTTACTTTTTGTTGGAAGGATATGCTGATCCTTTGAATCTGTGTTAAAATTTTCAGTAAAGACAACTTGACTGAATTTAAAAATGCAAAAACTTTCAATTTATAGTCATCTTGAACCTTAAGCATTTGATATTCAACATATATATGTTCCTGGTTTCTTAAGATTCCTTATGTACTTTTTAGTTTCCTAAAAACAATAATAGGTAGTCATTCAATATAAAATCTTTAATGTGGCTCTTAACATGAAAACCCTACAAGTAAGAAATGAACAAAAACTATTAGAAAAGGGATGACACCATTGGAGAAAGCTATTTGAAGGTTAAAAAAAAAGTACTTCATTTTACAATGCTTTACATGCTTGGGTCCTTAAGATTCATTATTTGACATTACTGTGGATTCACATATTTTTGTGGGTACAAATTTTTGGTGGATTGAGGAAAAAATGGATTTTCCTGGATATATGATTTTGTGGGTTTAGCCAAAATTCTTAAAGCCTCTTGAAAATGTATACTTTGTTGAACATTAAAGTCATGGTTTATCTTTACCCACGGAATCAACAAAATTGGTATCCAGCAAATAATAATGAATCCACAATATTATCTAACTGTAGTATTACATTTACTTAAAAAAACATTCTGATAAAAGCAAGAACTTTTGAATTAATTATTATCTAGCTAGGTAAAATGTTTTTATCTACAGTGTTTTTTTTGTGTATTGCAGGTATTATTTCATGAAGATGGCAGTGTAAAAGGAATAGCAACAAACGATGTAGGAATATATAAAGATGGATCACCTAAGGTAAAGACATCTCATATGAAAGGAACTTTGAGCATATATGTTATTAAACTTACACTAGGTAATCTGTCCACCATATTTAAGACAAGAACATGATAATGACATACTCAGCTTCAATATTATTTAGCCATTCTTCTGTCTCATACATTTTCTTGCTGTGTTGAAGGCTTTGGGCTGTTTTCTGCTCTTTGGTTGGGTTGTTATCTCTTTGACACATTCTCTGTTTCCATTCTAATTTTATCTATCAATAGTAACAATCACATCTTCATGAAAATTTATTATAGACTTTTATTTAGGTAAGCAATAAAATTTAAATTATGTTCATGATGTTTTGTACCATTTTAACTTCTTGATAAACAAATACATGTATATCAGCAACTAGTAGCAACTGTGTCACGAAATTCAATACCAAGTTTTATCTGTATTGTGAAAGCTATTAAGTTATATATTGTCAGATATCATTATAAAACATAAAAATATAAAAAATACCGAACTCCAAGGAAAATTCAAAACGAAAAGTCCCTTATCAAATGGCAAAATCAAAAGCTCAATCACATCAAACGAATGGAAAACAACTGTCATATTCCTGACAATTTTCTATTGGAATGATATTGAGTCAGCTGCTTTGAGTGTAATGCACTCAAAGAAGAGATGAAATTAGATAAATATGATAAAGGTACCCATCTTTATACACAGTATACCATTTTCAATTTATTTATAATCAGTGCATGTGATGTATGTTTTGAAAGTGTGTGTAATTTTCTTTTATAATGTGTATTGAATTATATACTGTGAATGGGTCCTTTTATTAGGAATAACAAATTTTTATTTGATCTTAATAGTAAATGTTAGTCACATTTTCTCATTGTCTATTTGTCACAGCTTTTTGATATGAAGTACCAAGTTTTATCTGGATTAGCATTACAGTCTTATTGATTTTAAATTATCTGTTGCACATGTCTTTCCTAAGAGTGGAACATATGTATTTCCTTTGTCATGTAACTGACATGAAGAAAATTTTAGTCCAAAGTGCAAAAGTAGGTCTACAGTATTGAGCAGATGTTCAAATATGTTTTGCTTTTTCAAGACCAGAATACCAAGTTGAATATTATAATATAGTATATAGCTAACTAGGATAATATTCAATAGGAAGACCAAATCAGCCCTACATAAATACAGATTTTTTGCAATAATTCCATTAATTGTGCATTTGTAGACTGTAAAAAAATAATAACATTTTATTGTTATTTCATAAATAAATGCTCATAGGCAACATTAAGCTTTTCACTTTGAGTTTTAAACATATGTTTCAGGACACATTTGAAAGAGGAATGGAGCTTCATGCCAAAATAACAATATTTGGAGAAGGTTGCCATGGTGCATTAGCTAAACAATTATATAAGAAATTTGATTTGAGAAAGGATTGTGAACCACAGTCTTATGGTATAGGTTTAAAGGAATTATGGGAAATTGATCCGGAAAAGCACAGACCTGGAAGAGTTGAGCATACTATAGGATGGCCATTTGTAAGTATATAAAAACTCTGCCATCTTGCCACCAAAACTGACACTGGAACCTATTGTCTTCCAGTTGTCACATTGTCACATTATTGCTGTTTAAACTTGTTTGTCTCAAATGACCTTGCAGCACTTTCAAGCAGAAAGCTGTTTTAATACATTTGTTGAGATGAGAGGAGTATTGATTAATCTGTTATCAGACATATGAGTTCTTACAATATTTTTCATTGTCCTACTCAGAAAATTTATCCCCTTCCCATTTTATCGTCGAGCCTGCGACTTTTGTCGCAAAAAGCTCGACATAGGGATAGTGATCAGGCGGAGGCGGCGTTAGCTAACTTCTTAAAAGCTTTATATTTTAGAAGTTGGAAGACCTGGATGCTTCATACTTTGTATATAGATGCCTCATGTTACGAAGTTTCCATCTGTCACATGTCCATTGTCCTTGACCTCATTTTCATGGTTCAGTGACTACTTGAAAAAAAAGTTCAGATTTTTCTTAAACTATAAGCAATAGGTCAACTATATTTGTTGTATGGAAGAATTGTGAACTGTACATGCCTGCCTGGCATGGTTCATCTGACCTTGACCTCATTTTCATGGTTCATTGGTCAATGTTTAGTTTTCTTGGTTAATGTTAAGTTTATGTGACAGTTGTAATAAAGCTTTATATTTAGGTCTATCAACATAATATCAGTGATTAGTAAAGAAGGCGAGACATTTCAGTGTGTGCACTTTTGTCTTGGTTAAGTCTGTATCTTAGAATTTATAAGCAATAGGTCAACTATATTTAGTGTATTGAATGATTGTAAGGTGTACATGTATTTCTTGTTTGGTTTATATGACCTTGATCTCATTTTCTTGGATCATGTTAAGTTTATGTGATAGTTGTAGTAAAGCTTTATATTTAGGACTATCAACATAATATCAATGATTAGTAAAGAAGGCGAGACATTTCAGCGTGTGCACTCTTGTTATTATTTCAAAGTTATGTTCATGTCTCTGTCCATTGAGAATTTTTAATTTCATGTCTTGAATATTGAAAAAAATGTTTAACCATTCACAGGAATATAGGGTTAAATTGATAGAAATGGATGTTATAAATGCTTTCTATTTAAAGTTGGTTGACTACGTAAACAAAATAATTTAGTTTTGAAAATTTAATAATACTATTTTCATTGGCAGTGGTTAACTTTGTATGTTAAAAAACAAATGCATATGCTGTTTAACATGATGTGCACATATTTATGCCCCCGTCGTAGCAGTGCATCCCAAAATTGGTTTCCGTTCTCTAACTTGAGTTTGCCTCACAACCAAATGTTATGAAACTTATACACAATGCTTATTACCACAAAACACAGATCAAGTTTGAATTTTGGTGGCGTCATTTTAACCGTTCTAGAGTTATGCCCCTTCATAAATGGAAAAATTGCAAAATTTTTAGTTTCCGTTCTCTAACTTAAGTTTGCCTCAACTAAATGTTATGAAACTTATACACAATGCTTATTACCACAAAACACAGATCAAGTTTGAATTTTGGTGGGGTCACTTTAACCGTTCTAGAGTTATGCCCCTTTATAAATGGAAAAATTGCTAAATTTTTATTTTCTTCTAAATATCAAGTAATTTTTAAAATTGGAGTTATCTTCCTTTGTCCATGATTATAGTTGAATCAACTACAATCAAAGCTTTATACAATGCAATGTTTAATTTTGACTTCCACTGATAAAACACAGATCAAGTTGAATTTGGGTTGTGTCACTTTAACCATTATTGAGTTATGCCCCTTTATAAATCGAAAGATTGCAAAATTTTTAGTTTCCATTCTGTAACTTAAGTTTGCCCCAACCAAACATTATGAAACCTATACACAATATTCATTACCACAAAACTAAGATCAAGCACAAAATTTTTGTTTCCGTTTTCTAACTTTAGTTTGCCTCAACCAAATGGTATGAAACTTATACCGTACACAATGCTTATTACTACATAATACAGATTAAGTACGAAATTTTGTGGTGACACTTTTACCATTCTTGAGTTATGTCCCTTTATAAACATAAAAATTGCTGAATTTTTGTTTCCATTCTCTAACTTTAGTTTGTCTCAACATAATGTTATAAAACTTATACACAACCGTTCTAGAGTTATGCATGTTTACAAATAGAAAAATTGCTGAATTTTTAGTTTCTGTTCTCTACTTAAGTTAGCCTCAACCAGATGTTATGAGACTTACACACAATGCTTATTACCACAAAACTCAGATCAAGTTCAAATTTGGGTAGCGTCACTTTTACCGTTCTTCAGTTATGTCCCTTTATAACTATATGATATGCAAGCGGGGCATCATCTGTGTCCACATGTGGACACTATCCACATTTATTTATTTATTAAATTTCAGGACATTCATACGTATGGAGGTACATTCCTTTACCATTTAGATGAAGGACCTCTAGTCACATTAGGAATGGTGGTAAGTCATATATCATCACAATTGTTAGCTGCAAAACACTGAAATTTTGTTGTGACTGAATTAATTAGCCATTTTAAATGTTAAGTTTTCTGCCTAAGTTAGATTGATATAAACTACTTGCGATATATCAATGATATTTTCTATAAAGTTGCATTACTATCAGTACATATCAGTTTGACGACTATTTTAAGGCCCTGCCGCCTAGGTCATGGTCCAGTGACTTTCAATCAATTTACAATTTTCAATGTTAAGTTTTATGATTACGTTAGTTTGATAGGAACTACTTACAATAGACAATATTTTGTATAAAGTTACATTGATGTTTGTACATCTCACTTTGTCAACCGTTTTGAGGCCCTACCTACTAGTTGGTCCAGCGACTTTGAATTAATTAGCAATGTTGCTGTCCATCAGATTGTCTTTTTCTGAATTTTATGCCGACAGGCGAGATATATCTCTGTGTCAACAGTTTTATCCTTAATATTCATTGATATTTTTAAAATTAAATTCATTAGTTTCTGTCACATCTACACTATACAACTATTAATTTTTTTCTCATTCTCAAAAATGATAAGCAGATGTTGAACAAGCATAACAAATCTATAATTTGACTGTAGCTCAAAATTGTAACCTTCCTTTTTTCCCTACAATAAATAGGCTGTTGATAATTTTGAAGACCTGCTTGAATTTGAAAATGATAAGTGCTTTTCAACATTTATTTATGGAAAAGCCCTTAAAATTATGTTATATTACTTTGCTAGTATAAGATCACTATGATAATAGTCTCTTCTACTGTTTTGACAAGGTAGCAAGTATATCATATAAAATAAAAATTGAGAATGAAAATGGGGAATGTGTCAAAGAGACAACAACCCGACCATATACATATACATGCTACCTTGTCGAAACAGTAGACAGTCAGGGGCGTTACTTAAACAAGTTATTTTTTTTAGTTACTTACATAGGTAATTTTTGTTTTTATAAATTATAAAATTACTCAATAGAGTTATTTTAAAATTCAATAAAACATGGACTAAATGTAGTTTTCATGAACTTTTACATCATTTTATGTCATAAAAATAAGAATTTATTAAATTTGAGAGGAGTATAGAGCTAAAGGGTTACTTTAAATATAATGATATTACTTGAATAAGTCATTTTATACATCTTTGAAAGAATTAGTAATAACACTTATTTAAGGAACATATGTAATTGTTTTGGGTTACAAATTATAAATAACTTCAAGTCTTAATTAAATCACAAGTATCTATCTATTTATATCTGTCTACATTCAAGATTTTCAAGGAAAATTATATTTTAATAGTCCTGATCTATGAGAGACCAATCTTTGACCCAGAAGCGTCGATATGAAAGATAAGTGCGTCAGAAAGGCAATTAGTGTTTCAGAAGGATTAGATTTAATATTTCAAGGGAAAAATAACCAGATTACTGTGAAAATTTGTTAAAGCTAGTAAAATCTGTGTAATTGGACACCTATAAAAATAATATTTATTAATGGTACTTATATAAGTAATATTAAAAATAGCCTCGTTTTCAACATTACTTGTATAGGTAATTTTAAAAGTTACTTGTTTAAGTAATGCCCCTGACTGGTAGAAGAGATGATAATATTTTCAAAATTTTAAAATCTTTTATTAATGTTACAGCTTGCAGTGGTTTAATAAAAATAGAAATATTTCAATAGAGAGTAATGAAATTAAGAGTATATTGTGATGAAATGGTAGGACCTTATCTCAGTTTCTCGATTTAAAAAAAAAATAAACATGGAATTGGCCATTTCTACTGATATCAGATTGTTAATTCTCAATTCTTTGACAAAATTTAACCAAACTTGCACAGATTCTTCTAACAATGTCTAAGGGTAATGAAGTTGTGAATTTCGATCTGAATGATTTTTTGGGTATTCACTACAGGCTATTTCTGCTTATGGCTGTTCCATAAAAAAACAAACATGGGACCCAGATGGCAACATGAATTTAACACTTATGGACAGATAAGAAATTTTAATTTGTTTTAAATTGCTTCTATGGGAGTAACCCTATTTTCAAAGTTCCCCTGGGTACCATGTTTGAATTAATGGGAACATCCCTCATATTATTTGGACGGCGTGAAGCAATCACCAATCAATCAATTATTATTTGGACACCACAGACAACACACATCTTCCATAGAAGACTCAACCATTTTTAGCTATATTAATATTATTTATGTTATTACAGGTTGGCCTTGATTACCAGAATCCATACATAAGTCCATTTAAAGAATTCCAAAGGTACAAACACCATCCATGTATTGCACAAACACTAAGAGGAGGAAAGAGAATAGGCTATGGTGCTAGGGCTCTAAATGAAGGAGGATTTCAGGTAATGTTGAGACAGAGATTTGAGAGTTTTTACTTATTGCAAAATATTAATATCTTGATTCAAAGATCAAATATAAGGAAAAAAGGAAAATTTTATTGTAAAGGCAATTCATAAAATTTTTATTTTATCAAATAACCTTATTTCAAATTCTTATAGACGACTTTCAACTCAAGATTGGTCTATTGCACCTGTTCAAAAAATGAAGTGAAATATTAACTGTAAATAATGTGTCTATGCAAAAAATATAAATGAAACTAAGCAGATGATCCATCCTGAATTTTATTTAAAAATTTTTTAATAAGAAGCTCGGTCTACATCAAAAGAAAAGTATAAAAAAATCATTGATCAAAACTATTGAATGACACTATTCATCCTTTATTTTTGCAGTCACTCCCCAAGCTGACATTCCCAGGAGGAATATTGGCAGGATGTAGTCCAGGATTTATGAATGTTCCAAAAATCAAAGGCACACACAATGCAATGAAAAGTGGAATGGTGGCTGCAGAAGCTGTTTTTGAAACATTAAATAATGAAAGTTTAACATCAAATTCACCAACAGCAGGTAATTTGAATGCATTGTTATTTGTTTACCCTTTGTTAACATTATATTATATGTTAATCTAATGGTCATGTATGGTTTGTTAGTGTGAAAAGATTACATCTGATATTAAGGGCATACACTTGTATGCATTATCAAAAAACATGTATGCAAAGATGAATATACCTTCATGACATACTTTTGTTTCATTTTGGTCTGTTTGAGGTAGAACAAAAATTTTCATATTTCAATAAGTCGCTGAAAAAAGAGCAAAACTTTCAAACCTAAAAGAGACTTTTTCACCTGCTTTCTTGCCAATACAAATGCATGCAGAAAAAATTATGCTTTTTTTTTTTACAATTATGACAAAACTTTCTTGAAGCAGTACTTAATTGATTACAAATAAAAAAAAAAAACGGAGGCCAACAGACTTTATTAGCCGAAAACCTCACATTTTAATGCTATAAATAGCATTACTGATTTTGGGGCAAAATATTATGTTGTATTGATAATACAACATTAGCATATAGCATTCCCTTCTTTTACAACAACATACAAATCTCTTGACATTTATTGAATATATTTGGTGACAAAAAAGTAACTAGATGTTTATTTTAATCCAGCTTTGTCTCCTGCAGATGATTTTACTGGGTTCTATAACCATTATCTCTGCTACTTCTTTCAAATTCACACAACTGATCTGATGGCATCTGTGTGTTTTCAGGGATGCATATAGCAATGCCTTGAAAACAACTCTTTAAACTATGATGACTTTTTTTCTTCCTCTGCTACTGTATCATATGTCCTTAAGGTTGAATCTAAATTTAATATATAGAATTTACTTGAAAGACAGTTAATGATAATTGGCTGTTTTCTGCGGTCTTGAATTGTAAAAAAACAGGGGAAAATAGTCTAGATCTTTAATGAAATATGCAAATTTTGAGAGAGGATGCAATTCATGTGTCAGAATTTTCAAATTTTAAATATACATGAAACTGATAAATGTATAAAGAAAATAATTAAGATGGTAGTCCCATATAGCTAAATGAATGCTCAGTTTAACAGTGTCCACATTCTTTACTGGTATTTTTTTTTATTTTAATTCAACAGGTCTGGATCCAGAAGTGTATGAACAAAAGATTAGAGACAGCTGGGTATGGAAGGAACTGTATTCAGTACGGAACGTCCGACCATCATTCAACACAAAGTTAGGACTTTATGGAGGAGTGCTGTATACTGGCCTGTTCTATGTTCTCGGCAGAGGAAAGGAACCATGGACATTGTCTCATGGAGGTATTCTATTCATTCGTTTGATTTTGTGTCATTAAACAAATGCTGAGGTTGATTTTTGGAAACAGAGGCAACAGTCTTAACACAATATTTTAGTTTTTCATGATACTTGATTATGTTAAATCAATAAATCATAATCTATCCCAAACCTTTTATTATATATAATGGTTTTATAAAAATAAGAAGATGTGGTATGATTGCCAATGAGACAACTCTCCACAAGAGACCAAAATGACACAGAAATTAGCAACTATAGGTTATTGTACGACCTTCAACAATGAGTTAAACCCATACCGCATAGTAAGCTATGAAAGGCCCCAAAATGACAAATGTAAAACAATTCAAACAAGAAAACTAACGGCCTGATTTATGTACAAAATAATGAACGAAAAACAAATATGATACACAGCAACAAACAACAACCACTGAATTATAGGCTCCTGACTTGGGACAGGCACATACAGAATGTGGCGGGGTTAAACTAGTTTGTTCATTTTTAAAATTTTATGTTGATGGCAGATATCTTATAGTCATTGCTAACTATAATCATACTTTTTTTAGACTTGAGGTGATCAAGAACTTGACATATATCGTATAGACATCTGTCTACTGTTGAAAACTGTATGGTTACCTGATACATATCTTGGGTTTTGTCGCCATGACTAAGTCGAAAAAGCGTGACTTAAGCATAGTTTTTTCTGCGGCGTTGGTAGTGGTGGCGGCAACAATGTATAAGTATGTGAATAGATCAGTTTATGGGGAACGACTTAAGGTGAGACATATCTCTGTATCAACAGTTTATTTGTTGTTGGTTTGCTATCTCGTTGACATATACTCCACTTTTATTCATGTTAAATACTATTAAATACAAGTCTTGCTTTATACTGTGTTTCAGGTGCTGATTATACTAAACTGAAGCCAGCAGCAGAATGTAAGCCAATAGATTATCCTAAGCCGGACGGTCAACTTAGTTTTGATTTGTTGGAGTCTGTAGCTTTAACAGGAACAAACCATGACCATGATCAACCTGCCCATCTAACACTACTTAATGATGATATACCTGTCAATCATAATCTAGCAGTGTATGATGGACCAGAACAAAGATTCTGTCCAGCAGGTATGTACATATTATTTGTGAAAACCTAATAAATAAGTCAGTTTAAATAAAATATTGCAAATTGCAAAATTCTCTTTGTTTCATGAATTAGACATGGATTGACTATAAAATAAATAATTAGCTTACCCAAGCTACTTAAAAGAAATTAGTTGTGATAGGTTACATTTCAAAATTCCTATCCTTAATTGACAAGGGGACATTGAAATTTATGCCACTCTACCTTTAATGATCCCTTGCCTCTTTTAATTCACAAAAACAACTGGGTTCTTGCAGACTGAATTTATAATCTTACTTGCAAACAGGCAGATAACAGTGGACTACTCCATATGATATTTCAGAACTCAAATAAAACAGACTTTATTTTTGAAATGAGGGAAACAAATTGGAATCTTTTTTTTCAATTTAAAAAAAAAATATGACAACTTAGAATTTTCTTGGACTGTTTTTTATAGCAGCAAATATATCATATATTAGTTTTATTTAAAGGTCAAATGAATTCAGATCTGGAAAACATTGTGGAAAATCACCTTAAACATTCATATCAAACCATAGATGAAACAACATTTATTATTTTCATTTGCAGGTGTATATGAATATGTAGAAACAGAAGATGGAAATGGGAAAAGACTACAAATAAATGCTCAGAACTGTATACATTGTAAAACTTGTGATATCAAGGACCCTAGTCAGAACATTAACTGGGTATGTCCTCAGGGGGGTGAGGGCCCAGCATATAATGGCATGTGATATAGCAGCATTAGTTTGATATATTGTGATGATCTGAGGAGTAAATGAGAACTATATTTGTTCAATCTTTGAAAGATTTGTTTTGTAAAAATTTTAATCATTATTCATTAAAAAAAGCATTTATGACCAGCAAGGAGCAGTGTAAAAGAAACTTTTATACAAAATCTGTTATGCTTTAATCTTTTGAATTTTTGTCATGGAGTGTTTGTGGGTGTTGACATGGGCATGGTATATGTAGTTAAGGGGTTTAATATGTGATTTAATTTCTGTTTATTCAAGTAAACTAAAACAGAGTTTTATTTTTCTGCTTAAAAGCTCGTTAATTCAACAATTAGCAAGTTAGTTTAAACAAATTGTTTACATTGTGTACAATAATAAGCAGTTAAGTGTTAACATTGTGTACAATAATAAGCAGTAAAGTGTTAACATTGTGTACAATAATAAGAAGTAAAGCGTTAACATTGTGAACAATGATAAGAAGTAAAGTGTTAACATTGTGTACAATAATAAGCAGAAAGGACAAGTTACTAGATTAGAAATATTTTTGGAACAAGTGCTGATACTGGACCATACACATGATACAATTAGTTGAAAACAGTCTCAGAGAAAGCACTGAAAATATTTGCATTTCAGTCAAAAGATTCATGTTAAGCAGTCAACTTTTGTTTTTTAATTTAATTAAAAGCTCAAGTTTAATGTTTAAAGAATATATTGAATGACCTTAATTCTGAAGGCCACAAACTGACTTGAATATATAAGGGATGGTTAAAGATTTATAAATGTATGTTTATATGCAGAATACCATATAGTTTCGTGCAAAATTGTTTTTTGGATTGATAGTTGTGGAAATTACTGTAAAGTTTTGTTAATTATTGTTATCATTTTTTTATGGATTTTAATGGTTGTTAAGACCACAGAAGTTTTTATGAAACAAAATGTATGTGTATTTGTAAAACCACAGAAGTTTTTGTGTTATGCCAAGTCCAAAACAAAAGTATAGTAATAAAAGAATTTTGACAGTAAGTTTCATTGTCAGCTATTATAAAATGGCTGTGTTAGTTATATATATATGTGTGTAAATGTTAGAGGTGTATATACTTGTTGAAGAATTTTGTTTATGTCGAACAAAATAAAATTGGAGTGTCTGTCAGTCTTTAACATATCAGTTTGTTTTGTTTCTTTGTCACAAGTGATGAAATGATTAGGTATTGTAATGAATGAAAACTGTTTCTGCAATAGGTTGACAGTTATCTGAATTAGAAGAATAATAATGTCTGTTAAAGAAGATTCATGTAATTAATATTCAATGTCACATAAGGCTATCAAGTATTTTTTCTGACTTTTTGTTGATGAAAGTGTTTATGCTAATTACAAAAAAAATTTAAAAAAAATGTCAGTTGTTGACACATAATTTACCAAGGAGTGATTCTGGTAGATTTAATGAATGAAGTCACCTCGATTTGTCATACGTTTGCCTGAGACCTATGATTACCTTATCTTTTATCAACAATATTGATTTTAATTCTTTCCAATTTTTATGAGCTCTGTTGAACTGTCTTGTTGTATGAAGGTAGACAGTTAACACCTATAGCCTATTTTGCTGTAGTACAGAAATACAAAAGTCAAACAATTTAATATTCTAAACACTGAGGAGAATTTAGATTTCACAAAGTAAATTTGGAATCCCATTTTATTTGAGAAAGGCTTCTGAACTTAACTTTGAAGTTTCATTGATGAAAATTTGGTATGTTGTTTTAATGATGTGAATGTTTCTACTACTGAAATATATTTATATAAGGAAAACTTCTGAAGGAGCTTTTTTATTGTGTGGCTGGTATGAAAATGAACTTATGGATTTATTGAGTCTACCTCAATTATTTATTGAATTAATTTTGATTTGACAGAATTGATTTATTGTAATTCAATTTTATGTTTCAGTTGCTACATTTTGTATGGTATCTGAGCATGGAGTTAATAAACTATGCATATTTTTATTGTTTCTTTTGTATTTACTTTCCACCGAATCAAATATTCATTCCGCTTTTGTCTCTCATCAGAATATATTTACTATGAAACTTGACTAAAACATTTCATATCAGTCATGAAAAAATTTTATGTGAATAAAGAAAAATATTTGCAAGCTATTCTATTTTAATTGATCCTTAATAATTTTCTGGCACCGTAAAAAGGAGGGAAAAAACTCCAAGGGGCAATAGAAAATCAGAGGTCCAATAAAGATACTACATCATGGCAAAAAAAACTAGAAATCAATAAAAGGATGTACAACAATTACAACACATTACATGGAAACCTAAAGACTGAGCAACAGGAGACCACCAAAAACTGTGGATAAAGTGATTGCTTTTCAGGTATTATACCTAATTTTCGGTATTCATCTGAACTACATTTTGACCTTATATTTGTAAAACTTCACTTGTAAATCAGGATTGTAATTTTTTTTGCTTTACACACAAGCTCCTCTTAATCCAGAATGGTTTTCAGACTCAGGACAGGAATAATTAATAATGTTTGACTTTAAAACAAAGATAAGATTAATATCTCGCTTAACACACTTCTTGATTATGCACATGTATTGGTAACTTTTATGTAACACATACACAGCACATTTGATGAGTAAAATGTACCAAATGTGTCTTGATGATGAGTGAGTTTGGCACTCATATTGATATGACTGCCATGCAATGCATGTATGCTGCACATAATATATCAGATTTATGTCCTTATAATAAATAAAGACGAGTAAAAATGTTCTTCATATGGATGTTGAACTTAATTTTGAGAATTGAACGTAGTTCTTAGTTGTAGGTATGAATGGTAAACTAAATATCACTTATTCAAAAGAAAGGTTGTTGTAGTTCCCCTCAATTCTTCTGATTCATAATAACTTTTGTTATTGATTTGAGATGAGGAAAATCATTCTGATTATTTGAGAAATGGAGGTTAACATATGAAAACACTCTTAGCCGGTCTGGCCATTGGTCAGTTTTAGATGTTGCTATAACTTGTCAACTGCTCTCTATAAACTGATTTGATCTTCTCATCTGGAGCTAGTGAACTGATGAAAATAGCAGTTGCATTTCACGAATGAACAATTCGGATAGATCTGATTGTGCCAGCATTTAATATGTTGTTGATACTTATTTATAACAGAAAATTACCTGTGATTTTAGATGGGAATATGGCATTTCAAAAAAAATTATGTGTCATGACTGTGATATACAATCGAAGAAAAAAAATCAGTGAAAGAAAAATGAGTTCTCCAAAATTACCGCTCAGTCAATCTCATGCAGCATGGGTATGGTCAAAAAAGTATTTTTTTGTTGATAGTGGTTTAAAAAACATTATATCAGCACACATTGTCTTTGTTTCTGCAAGATAAAGTCTGTTCCAATTTATACTATTAAGGTAATCAAAAGACACGCCACATAGATAAACATTTGTAAAAAGTTCTAAAGAACCCTGTGACTTGTTTGCGACGGCTGCTATCAGTGTAAAAGTGTAATTTGACTGCCACCACTTTTTCTGTTTATCAGTAAAAAAATGTATAAACAAAATATCTAATTGTTGATTATAAAGAAGCTTTTGTTCAAGATGTGTAAAATTGCACGCCGCTCAAACCAATGCTAGCGGCCGTCCTAAACTTGCAGTGATGTGAGAGTTTTTTGCTCTGTGTTTAAGGCCTCACTGTGACTTTGAGACGAAGAACAGCAATAAAGGCGTTGTTCCTGTGCTTTTTGTGTTTTTTGCTGTGCATATACTGATTTTGTGTCATGGATGGATACCTATTATCCTTTCTTTTCTATTGACAACATTATTCAAGTTTAAACATGCATATTTAACCAATCTTGTTATGTAAAAATAAAAAAAAAGTAGTCAGTGGCTATTTTGCCAGCTCTGATACAAAATTGATTAAATCTAAATTAGTCTTTTGAATACTGTAAAATGGTGTGCATTATCAACATGAAAGGATTAAAATATTATCATTTCTATTTTATAATATAAATAATATACACAATACATAAAATACATAAAATACATACAACATTTTAAAACATTGTCAAGTAAAAAACATATTGAACCTATAAAAAGAAGTTACAATAATAATGCTGAATTGTTTTGTAAGAATGAATTTTTATCAAAACAGGAATTTAATTTCAATTTGTAAAAGTCACTTAAACTAGGTTCAAAAATATATATATAACCTAGTTGCTACCTTTAACACCACTCAAAGATTGAAATTAGCAGTAAAACTTAATCAGAATGTATCACAATTGAACATTTGATGTATCACAATTGAGAATGTAATGCATCACAATTCAAAATGTAATGTACCTTAAAATTTTGCATAAAAGTTATTTAAAGTTTACATTTATAATAAAACTTCTTTGACTTAGTTGTGTTTTATAATTGGACACCCAAAAAATGTTGCCATTCTAGGCGTGAGCTGCACATTTCCCGTGGTTCCTTAAAGTCCGCATCCTCATCACACATTTTGCAAATGTACATTGGATTCTTCTGATTCCAAGTGGATATTTAGGGCAGATCTCCATGCATCTGAGTCACAGTACTTCTTAATTGAATCAATGTTGATTAAATGACCCAAAACAAGCTAAGGAGACAACTTCTGGTTTATTTTCAACAAGGTTTTTTGTAATCAAGAAATCTCCACTTACAGCTTAAGCAGCAATCTCACTCTAACAAAACAGTCTCTATTTCCTCTGAACTCTTCTTTTGAAAGGGTAAACACTTACTTCTGCGCAAACGTTTTTTCTTGCTTTTTTGTTTGGCAACCCAAAAAATAACAAAAATACCGAACTCCAAGGAAAATTCAAAACGGAAAGTTCCTTATCATATGGCAAAATCAAAAGCTCAAACACATCAAAGGAATGGAAAACAACTGTCATATTCCGGATTTGGTATAGGCATTTCCTTATGTAGAAAATGGTGGAGTAGACCTGATTTTATAGCTAGCTAAACCTCTCACTTGTATTACAGTCGCATAGAATTCGATTATATTAACAATGAATGAGTAAAACACACATTCCCTTTGGCCTTCTACACTTTTTAATTGCTGGTGGAAGTTAAATATCTGTTATACCAGGTACACACACAATCTAGTAGATTTTTATCTTTCTAAATGACATCTCGCTCTTGTTGTGTGTTGTTTGAATCCAGACCGACATCAGAACTTTCTAACATTTCCTCCCCATCTGGTACATCATTATTTATAGTTGTAGCTAAGTATTCTGTAGCAATTTGATTGTCACACAAATGTGTACCATTTTTTTCTTTTTTTTAGTTCCTGTACTGCTTGAACCTTTATTAAAGTATGAAATAACTGACTTTGGGGATTCTGTACACAACTTGCTTTACAAAGTTTGATATTCATTTTCTGTTTTGCAGTAAAAGAAGGCGAACTACACCAAAGGGACATTCAAACTCATAAATCAAAAATAAACTGACAACGATATGGCAAAAATACGAAAAAAAAAAGACCAAAAGACAAACAACAGTTTACAAAAGCAATATAGAAAACTAAACACCGAGCAACACCAACCCACCAAAATCTCGGGGTGATCTCATGTGCTCTGGAAGGGTAAGCAGATCCTGCTCGACATGTGTCACTCGTGATTTATTTTATTGTAGTTAATAAGACCAAAAAAGTAACTGTACTTACTTTCTTATTAGTATATACATGATTTTTTGTACATGTACATGTACATAGAACAGTCATTGCCCAAGGACATTTTGAGAACACTAATTTACTGAAATTTTGTATTAGTATGTACATTTTAAAGGTTTAGATGCTGTAAATATTAGCAATATTTTCCCCCCAGAAATCTGTACAAAAAACTATACCTGATTACTTTAAAAATAAAGCTACACCTGTTATTTCTTATACTTACTCCAAGTCTATTGCATTCACAATTTTTAACCACAAGAGGATTTTAGAGGCCTTTAACCTCAAAGATATGAAATCCAAGCCTCCGGATTGCTCATGTGCATCGTCGCAATACAATTTTAGTCCAGCTGGTCATGTTATTACTGGCGACCTTGGCATCGTTACCAATGAACAACTAAGAGAGTTGTTAGCCAAGGGACCAAAATATAGAATTCCCCAGCCCATCAACTGGAAAAGAACTTCAGGTTACTGATGGATGCAGTTGATGACTATGCAAGAAAATGGGTAAAGCGCGAACCAGAAGAACCAGAAGTGGACACATTGTCTGAATGGATCAAAGCTATTCGATCATGCATTCAGAAGCGGATTCAAAAACTACGATGTATTATGAGCACAAGAGTTCCTAACCCTTTCACGAATCCGGATGTTGTGGATGCTTTATCCTCTTTGCATGACAAATATGTCGTTGTTCCAGCAGATAAAGCCTCCAATAATATTGTCTTCATATGTAAAAACCATTATTTGCAATGTCTCACAACAGAGCTTGGAATAAATAGAACTACTGGTAATCCTACATATTCTTTAACATCAATTACCAAGGACGAAATTTTACAAAATCACAAATCTGTCCTTCTTTCTTTTGGTATCAACATCAAAGAAAACGAAGAAAATTTACCATCATTATACTGGATACCAAAACTTCACAAAACTCCATATAAAGAACGATACATAGCTGGGTCATCAAAATGTTCGACTAAACATCTTTCTAAAGTACTGAATACTATTCTTTCTTCAGTTAAAGATGGGCTTCAAAAATATTGTGATGAGATATATTCTACCAGTGGTGTTAACCAGATGTGGATTCTCAAAAATTCGAAAGATCTACTGCTTAATCTTCGATCACAATCTTTGCAATTTTGCAGCAACATAAAGACTTTTGATTTTTCTACGCTTTACACTACTATTCCCCATGCTCAGTTGAAAGATCGGCTTCACCATCTCATTAAACAGAGCTTTTTCTATAAAAATGGGAATCGTAGATACAAATTTCTTGTTTTGGGTTACAATAAT